TTTGAATTTCTATATTGTAATTTTAATAATTTTTTATTTCTACTATTTATTAATTTTTTTCTTTTTTTTAATATTTTACAATATTATTAAAATTTTATAATTTTAATCTCTATAATTTTATCTTATTTTTTATTTTATAAGTATAATTTAGATTATTCATTTTATAATTAAATTATTTTTTTTTAAATCTTTTATAAGTTTACATAGAAAAATGTATTGAAACTCTTCGATCTTTGAGGTAAAAAGAATTGCAAGTATATGAAGAAAAAAATATTTTGCACTAAGGACTTGTAACTGTTTCGTAAACTACTTGTTTTTATTTTTATTTTTAAATGCAATACTTCAAACTACCTACATCTTTTAGTTAACTACCCTTTTTATTTTTTATATTTTAAAATAATGGAGACACAAAGGGTCTATTTTCTCCTAATAATTATAAAAATAAGTAAGTTTGTTATTTTTTTTTAATCTAATGATTCTATTCGACATGACCATTAAATTAAAATAAATTAAGGATGATAGAGAATAACTCAATACTCCTCTTTTATTGACCATAATGTTTAATATAGTATTATGACTTTCATGTTAATTTATTATTTTATTCTACATTTATTTAACTAAAAATGGTAGTTTCTTAAAGGAATTTGTGTTAAAACAATTTGGTGACGTGATATTCTTATAATTGTAATATTATGTTAAAATTAATAATTATTTATTTGATGAATTAAGTTTTTTTATCCATTTTTACAATTTTTCTTTTTCCTCTTTTTAATTTTTTTTTTGGGTTAACCCAAGTTAATATATGTAACCTATTACGAGATAAATTGAGTTAAGATTTCTAAAAATGAGTTCAACCTAACTCAAATCATTTTTTTACGGGCTAATAGAGAACACCTTATTATTGCGAGATAGACGATTTGTGAAAATTACATTGATACAATAAAAAAATTGTGTATTTTGGACATGCATATGAATCATAAAGATAAAGGATTTGAGAGATAAAAATAGGATTTTTTTACTTTTTAAACTCCCTTATATACTAAGTACTCTCTTTCTTCTTCTTCTTCTTTTTTTCTTAATTTTTATTATCAAATATACTCTTATGAATTATATTTTTCATTCCATATTTCTTATACTTTAATGTTTTTTTTAAAAAACATACAGTGTCCAAAAATACACAGTTTTAACTTTGATCAAATAATAAAGGTTAAAACCCTAATTTGGTCCCTTAAAATATTTTTTTTGTTTCAATTTAGTCCCACTTTAATTTTTGGTTTCAATTTGATACCTAATAATTTAAATTATTGCAATGTCGAAATTTCATCCAAATTATTTAAACAGAGTTAATTGTTGGTCACGTGGATGCCACGTAGATGCATAGGTGGATGCCAAATTTGTTGAATGCACCTGGAACTAGAATGGGTCGTTCTGGTTTAAGAACGGGTCGTTCTGGTTCCAGAATGTCAAACACAAACGATCGATGATTATAGTTCACGCCCGTGATTCTAAACCACGGTTGTGAATCGTGCAAGGAAAAAGACCCAAGGTACAAAACATTTCAAACACTGGATTTGGTAATATTGTCAATGGGGATTGATAACTTCAATTGCTAAACATTTGGGCTATACAATGTATCATTAAAGACAATGCAATGTATCACTAAGGACAATGGTGACAGGTTTTATTTCATTTTTAGTCAAACTAGAGTGAACCACTTACTACCAAATCAATACTATACAGTCAAGGATGAAACGACATGGTGTTTTCCCTTGAAGTCATTGACCGATGTATCCCAACAACAACAACCTGTTATTGAGGAGGTACAACCTGAAGTAGAGGAAGAGGACACACAGGATCAATATTTCACCACACAACCACATGTGCAGGTAGATAATGTTGATATCATGTCAGTCATTCAGTGTTATATGGTGGATAAGATGTATTATTGCCACCTTTAGCGTTATTTAGATGATTTCCCTTCACAGTAATTTCTTTGAACTTTATTAGTATATGTTATATTATGAATTTTTGTTTTCAGTCTCTAAACCATATTTATGTCTTTGAATTTATGTTATGTTATGAATTTTTATTTTCAATTTTTGAACCACATTGCGACATTTTGTTGAACGGACGTATGTGGTTGGCGTTCTGGAACGGCCCGTTCTGAATCTAGAACGGACCGTTCTAAAACCAAAACGGCTCATTCTAGTTTCAGAACGGGACGTTCTGCTGCACTAGTGGTGTGTTTATTTGCATCTAGAACGGCCCGTTCCAGATACAATATTAACACAACATGTGAAACCATAACAGGTTGTTCTGGTTTCAGAACGGGCCGTTTTGATTTCAAAACGGGTCTTTCTGGTTCCAGGTGCATTAAAAAAATTTGGCATCCACCTATGCATTTACGTGGCATCCACGTGACCAACAGTTAACTCTATTTAAATAATTTGGATGGAAGTCCGACATTGCACTAATTTAAATTATTAGGGATCAAATTGAAACAAAAAATTAAAGTGGGACTAAATTGAAACAAAAAAATATTAAAGGAACCAAATTAGGATTTTAATCAATAATAAACTTTCTTTTGTTCAAAATCCAGTCGAGATTAAATAAATAAATAAATATAGATTTGGGCTGGAAGAACAGAGTTAAGCCCCAGACCAGTCTTGTTATTTTTTTTAAAATCTAGTTCAGAGTCCGAACTCAACATCTCCACAAAAAAGCCCAACCTGTAAGTAAAACTCACCATATTTGCCGTTGGTGGAGGATATTTCTATCCTATCCAACAGAAAACTTAGTCAAGGATATTTGATAAACGAATTCATTGTGTAGTAAAAAATATACAGAAAGAGTAAAAATACAGTCTCCAAATAAAATATATATATATATATTAATAAATTATTATAAAATAATTATTTAATTTAATATTTTATAATTTAAATTATTATTTTAATTATTCAAAACATATTTCAGAATGTCATTCCGACATTCTATCATTTTCTTAATCAGAAGAGTAAAGATACAACTTCCTAACGCTTTCTCTAAATTATCCTTCGAATATTAAAAAATTAATATTTTTTAATAAATTTATTATAAAATAATTATTTAATTTAATATTTTATCATTTAAATTATTATTTTAATGATTGGAATGTATTTTGGAATGTATTTTTAATTATTTTAATTATGGTCAAAGTAGTGACGTTTGTTGTTGATACATAATATATGTTGGTATGCAAATAGTGTTCTTGACTAGTTTAGGATTTGATCAATGTAAAGTGTTAGTTGAGAATTTTGAGAGAGATTAATTGCACGTGCGCAGTAAAAGGAACCCCCAACTAGTGGCTTTTTGACCAAAGTGGAGTTGTTTGGAAAGTTTTTTTTATATAAATGGGGTTCTTTTGAAAGTATTTACGCCTTTGGGGCAGTTTATAACGGTGTCGCTATGGGCCATAGCGACACCAGTAACACATGGCATTTTTGTGATTCCAGAAAAGCCATAAAAGTCATATTAACGAAATTGTTGCAGCCCATAGCGACACTAACAGCTTAAATGAAGACGCTATAGCCCATAGCGCCCCATATTTTAAATTTTAAAAAAAAAGCAAAAAATATATTAAATAAAGAAATAAATGAAAAAATAAGTTTATAAAATAGTAATTAAAATGTATATGATAATGTAAAATAAAATAATTAAAAAAATAATATAGTTAATAATTTAAAAAAATGAAACGTTAAATAAGTGGCACTATGGCCTATAGCGACACTGTGTCGCTATAGGCCATAGCGCCACTATGAAAAATAAATAAATAAATTTAATTCGTAAAATTATTATAAAATAATTATTTAATTTAATATTTTATAATTTAAATTATTATTTTAATTATTCAAAACATATTTCAGAATGTCATTCCGACATTCTATCATTTTCTTAATCAGAAGAGTAAAGATACAACTTCCTAACGCTTTCTCTAAATTATCCTTCCAATATTAAAAAATTAATATTTTTTAATAAATTTATTATAAAATAATTATTTAATTTAATATTTTATCATTTAAATTATTATTTTAATTATTGGAACGTATTTTGGAATGTATTTTTAATTATTTTAATTATGGTCAAAGTAGTGACGTTTGTTGTTGATACATAATATATGTTGGTATGCAAATAGTGTTCTTGACTAGTTTAGGATTTGATCAATGTAAAGTGTTAGTTGAGAATTTTGAGAGAGATTAATTGCACGTGCGCAGTAAAAGGAACCCCCAACTAGTGGCTTTTTGACCAAAGTGGAGTTGTTTGGAAAGTTTTTTTTATATAAATGGGGTTCTTTTGAAAGTATTTACGCCTTTGGGGCAGTTTATAACGGTGTCGCTATGGGCCATAGCGACACCAGTAACACATGGCATTTTTGTGATTCCAGAAAAGCCATAAAAGTCATATTAACGAAATTGTTGCAGCCCATAGCGACACTAACAGCTTAAATGAAGACGCTATAGCCCATAGCGCCCCATATTTTAAATTTTAAAAAAAAAGCAAAAAATATATTAAATAAAGAAATAAATGAAAAAATAAGTTTATAAAATAGTAATTAAAATGTATATGATAATGTAAAATAAAATAATTAAAAAAATAATATAGTTAATAATTTAAAAAAATGAAACGTTAAATAAGTGGCACTATGTTTTTTCTGTAATTATTATAAAGTCGTTGTGGACTATATCATCTTAAATAAATTATGTAAAAACTGATTTTATTTATATTTATAATTTTATAATTTAATTTTTGTAATTTTTTAGTTATAAGTATATTTTTTTTAATTATAAAGTCGCTATGGACTATATCATCTTAAATAAATTATGTAAAAACTGATTTTATTTGAATTTTTAATTTTATAATTTAATTTTTGTAATTATTTAGTTATAAGTATATTTTTTTTCTTTAATCATTGTGAAGTCGCTATAGCTTATACCATTTCAAATAATTAATTTTAAAACAAATTTATATTTAAAATTTAAATTTTTTTAATTTAAATCTGTGTAATATATTTAGTTATATTTGTATTTTTTCCGCGTAATTCAATTTAATTTATATTTATTTACAAAAGAATTTAATTTAAATTATAAATTCATTTAATTTAATAACGTGTTATTTAAATTTATTTTAAAAAAATATTTAAAAATTAAAATGAATTAAATTATTTGTGTGTAATTTATCTTTATTTTAAAATAATGATATTTAAAATATAAATTGTTTTAATTTAATTCTGTGTAATGTAAATTTATTTAAAAATTATTTTTATATAAATAATATGTTGTTAAATTTTGTTATAGATGGCATCATCTTCTACATCTATGCGTGTGAGTTGTGGACCCGTTGAGGATGATTTGTTGTCATTGCAATCCATACATGTTTCACAACATGTGCATTTGGACATCTAATAACCCACTTAGTCTTTTTCGACTCAACCACATAAAAACTTTGATGCATTCTCATTGCATTTTGTTTGATTGCATTTTTAACTGGATCTTTATTCTCAAACTCCAACCCCACATATAAATCTTGCCCAATTGACCAAGTACTACCGACATCCATCCCTGAGATATCTTCTTCATCGGGATGATTCCAATTGATGTTAGTGTAGTGGGGTAAATTACCCCAAAATTGACTTCCACCTATTTTAATAATAATGAATTTAGTAATTTCAATAAAATCAATTTCAACAATTTATTTTAAACAAATAACAAATTATTGACAAATTTAATTTTCAGATGTTACCTTCAGTAGATGGATACATTGAAATTGGTTCAACCATTGGACTATTAACAAGAACATCCGGCTGCACCTCATCATCAGATGGTTCACAATTATCAATTTCATCTTCATTGGATTCATCAATGCTTTCATATGATGATGAAACATGATAGTCTTCATCTTCTTCGTCATCTTCATCTTCGTCTCTTGTGATCAAAGGTGATCGTTCAATTGACAAATTTTCTAATGAAAAAGTAGAAGATTCTTGCATACCTATTTCAGCATATAATTCCATTATTGGCATCACATTCTGGCTCTGAAATGCTTCTATCATGCATTGTACATCATCATCGTCACTCAATTCCAATGAAGAATATATGTTGTTATCACCTTGTGAAACTAAAAATCTGTAACTTACAGATAATATCACTTGATTTGAGTTAAGACTAAATTTGTTGTGAATCCTTCTCTTTAATATATCCAAAGTGATACCTCGTTTAATATACATTCCTTTTCTTGGTCCATCAAATGTTACACCTTCAGCACCTTCATACATCTTTCCAGTGTAAATATAAGCAATCATTTGATCCATAATATCTGCAACAAAAAAAATTAATTAGTGCAAATAGCTACAATTTATATCTTAACAAAAACAAAATTATACTCACCGAATCAGAAAGAAACGTAACTGGCTCAGAAATTTAAATCAGACCAAAACGTAACTGATAAATATATGATTTCAACTGCGAAAAAACCGTAGCTAGGAGGGGGTATAACCATAGCGACACTGTGTCGCAATAGGCCATAGCGCCACTTTTAAATAATTAAATACTTTTTAATTCGTGGTAAAATAATTTAAAGGACAAAAATATATATAGAAAACAAAAGAAATTAGAGAAAAAATAACTTTTTAATTACACATTATTATTTAACTGCTAATATAAAATAAACAAATTTTAAAACAAAATAAGTTAATAATTTAAATAAAAAAAACAAATAAATTAGTGGCGCTATGGGCCATAGCGACATAGTGTCGCTATAGGCCATAACGCCACTCAAATAAATAATTAAATACATTTTTTAATTCGTGATAAAATAATTTAAAGGAAAAAAATTTATATAGAAAACAAAAGAAATTAGAGAAAAAATAAGTTTATAATTACAAATTAATATTTAACTGCTAATATAAAATAAATAAATTATAAAACTAAATAAGTTATTAATTTAAAAAAAAACAAATAAATTAGTGGCGCTATGTCTAATTATTAGAGGCACTATCACTTTCAATAACTACTTTTGGTTTCCATTTTTACATGGACCATTTTATCTTTTATTTATTTTTCATAATTCTCTAAAACTACCTTTTCTTATGAGTAGTTTCTCTTTTTTATTTTTTCCTTTTTTCTATTTTATTCTGAAATTATATTTTATCCTTTGTTTATAAAAATGACTATTTTTTTCTTTTAATATAATACAGGCATAAAGTGCCTTTTTCCTGCTAGTCTATTATAAAGGGGATATCTCATTTTTATGTATATAATTTTTAAACTATTTTATCCTTAGATTTTAAATAATAAAAATAATATTAAAAATTAATTAAATTTAAGACCTTAAAATTCAAAGATTAAATATAATATTAATTGATTCAATAAATACTAATAATTTTTAAACATCTTTAAATAAATATCGAGATATAGAATGACTCGATCTAACTAATATGTATAAAATTAATTTATTTTTTACTTATTATAGTGAAAAGAGGAAGTACACAATATTGTACATTTAATAATGAATTTTGTTATACTTAACACTTAAAGCCTATGAAACAATTATATTAGATCTATCTATAACTATGATTGTAGTTATATATCAACATATTTACGCATATATAAAACAACATAAACAATATAGATCAGTTTTTGCATGCGTAGCTGCTTAATTAATTGCTTGAAAAACATGTATCACTTAAAATAAAAAAATGTATTAAAGATTATATAATCATGTTAAAGTTTTCTTAGGTTATGTTTTAATTTATGGATACAAAATAATCTTTACTCTTGAATATATATTTTTTGACATATATGTATTTTAATCACGTCATGTCTTGCTTCTTTAAAAATATATATGCATGTTCTTCATGTCATGTTATTTTCTTCAAACGGATATCAATGACTATACATTCTATAGAATTAAACATTAATTTAATTTGTTAAATTATCACTATTGATTAATTTGATTTATAGCATTAAATAACTATTTTTTTCTGATAAAAGGTAATTTAATCTTTGATATCAATCAATTTAGTTCCTAATTTTATGAACTAAACCGAGTATTGACTATCAAATTTAGATCTTAAATTGATTGATTTGATACTTTTTGGAACCAAATTAGTCGATGATATACTATTTTTTAAGAAATAAATTTATTGATAGTTATCAAATTAGACACTACTTTTTAACTTCTATAATAAATTAAATTCATAGGTGGTTAATAACTTAGTATCTATATATATATATATATATATATGTGAAGAAGAGAGAAGAGAGAAAAGGATATGAAAATGTATGTGTATTATTGAATGAATGTGTTACAAAGAAGGGGTATATACACATTAAGTAAAATGACTAAAATAACCCTATTTACATATTGTAACATCCCCCCTCAAACTCAAGTAGGTATGGAAGATACCAACTTGAGGTTGGAAACTAATGTGCGAAAACGACCAGGATGATGTGCTTTAGTAAACAAGTCAGCTGGTTGATCAACAGTGCTAATCGAAACTAGATGAAGAGTACCACGAACAACTTGTTGTCTAGTAATATGACAATCAATCTCAATGTGCTTGGTGCGCTCATGAAAAACATCATTGTGAGCAATCTAAATAGCACTACGATTGTCGCAAAACAGATCAGTAGGAAAAGATTGGAGAAACCCAAGATCACCTAAAAGCCAACGAATCCAGACAATCTCAGAAGTGGTATCAGCCATAGCACGATATTCGGCCTCAGTGCTAGAACGTGCAACAAGTTGTTGTTTCTTGCTACGCCAAGAAATAAGGGAGTCACCAAGAAAAATGCAAAAACCAGTAACAGAACGGCGGTCAGTGGGATCACCACCCCAATCAGCATCGGAGTAAGCACGAAGGATCAATGGGGAATCAACTGAGTAATGGAGACCGTGAAAGATAGTGCCCTTGATATATCTGATGATACGAAGAACAGCAGCAAAGTGTGTGGATCGTGGAGCACACATGAACTGACTAACCAAATGAACAGCATATGCAATATCTGGTCTAGTGACTGTGAGATAAATCAAGCTCCCAACCAACTGTCGATAAAGTGTCGGGTCTTCAAGCGGAGTACCATCAAGGGGAGTGAAGTGAGCACGAGTTTCGAGAGGAGTAGACTCAGTTTTGCAATCTGTGAGTCCTGCTCGAGAGATAAGATCAGAAGCATATTTGGCCTGGGAGAGGAATAAACCATCATCACAAGAGAGAATCTGGATGCCCAAGAAGTAGCTGAGTGAACCAAGATCCTTCATCTCAAAGTGCAGATTTAAGAATTGCTTAAGCTCAGAGATACCATTAGAGTCATCACCCGTGATAATCATATCATCAACATACAAAAGAAGTATAACAGTACCATGATCATTGCGACGGATAAAAAGTGCATTGTCATAAGTGCTAGAAGTGAACCCAAGTTGAGCAATGGTGTCATGAAATTTAGCAAACCAGGAACGAGGAGCCTGTTTAAGACCATAGAGAGCCTTACGAAGGCGACACACCTTATGCGGAGGACAAGAGTAACCTGGTGGAGGTTGCATGTAGACTTCTGCATCTAAATCACCATTAAGGAAGGCATTCTTGACATCCATTTGATCAATAAACCATTTCTTTGAGGCAGCAATAGCAAGAAGAGTACGAAGAGAAGTGAGACGAGCAACAGGAGCAAAAGTCTCTTCATAATCAATGCCATATTCTTGAGTAAAACCCCTTGCAACCAAACGCGCCTTATAGCGCTCAATGGAACCATCAGAATAAGTCTTTACCTTGAAAACCCATTTGCAGCTCATGAGATTCTTGTCAGGAGGATGATCGACAAGATCCCATGTGTTGGTATTTTCTAAAGCCTGTAGTTCAGCTTGCATGGACTCTCGCCACTTAGGATCTGCAGAAGCCTCTCGATATGTCTGGGGTTCATAGTGAGACATTATGGTAGAAAAATAATGATAATCATGAAGATAAGAAGGGGGTTTTCTTACCCTAGGGGGAAGACCAGGAGGAGGTGGAAGAGCTGGATCTTGAACTGCAGGATCAACGGCAGGGGTGAGGTCATTCGGAATTATGGGAAGATCGGAAGCCCCTGTAAGCTCATCAGAGGAACCTGCATCAAAGTCATGAGGAAAAAGATCTATAGAAGGGTTAGTGAACAATGGAGTAGAGGTGGATGGAATAGACTTGAAAGTGGAGAGAGAGGAGAACATTTTGTGTTCCCAAAAAACAACATGACGGGAGATACGAATGCATTGAGATATGGGATCCCAAACACGATAACCTTTGTGTTCAGTGCCATAGCCAAGAAAACAACAAAGACGAGCTCGAGGCTGAAGTTTGGTATATTCATGAGGCTGAAGAAGAACAAAACATGCACAACCAAAGACTCTAAGAGACTCATAACTCGGAGGAGTCCCAAAAAGACGCTCGAAAGGGGTCTTATCACCCAAAACAGAGGAGGGAAGACGATTAATGACATAAACAGCAGTAAGGGCAGCTTCACCCCAAGTGCGTTCTGGACAAGAGGAGGAAATAAGCATGGCACGGATGGAATCAAGAATGTGACGATGCTTTCGTTCAGCACGCCCATTCTGTTGAGATGTACCTGGACAAGAAAACTCAGATGTAGTGCCCTGTTCAGCAAGAAAATGCAAAAGCTTAGAATCACGATATTCAGAGGCATTGTCACGACGAAAGGTTTTGATGCACTTTGAAAATTGAGTTCTAATCATAGTGGCAAAATTAATATAAATTTGAGGAATTTCTGATCTAGATTTCATCAAATATATCCATGTAAAACGAGAAAAATCATCAATGAAAATAATAAAGTACCGACAACCACCCATTGTGGGGGTTGGAGCCGGTCCCCAAACATCATAATGCACAAGATCAAAAAGAGAAACAGAAGAAGAAGTACTGTCATTGAAAGGTAAAGCAGCTTGTTTAGCAGTTTGACAAGCAGTACAATCAAGTTTATCTTCTTTAATGGAGCCTAAACTACCCATGGAAATAAGGGGACGCAATTTGCTAAGAGAGGTGTGACCAAGACGCTGGTGCCAAAGATGGATGGAAGAGGGCGTCGAAGCAGCACATAGATTATTAGATGAGGGAACATGAAGTGTGGTAAGTTCAAACATCCTTCCGATCTTACGCCCATTCCCAATGATCTTCCCCGTCCGCGGATCCTGTACAGAACAACCAGTGGAAGAAAATGTGAGAATATAACCAAGATCACAAAGTTGACCAACGGAAACAAGGTTAAAGTTCAATTTGGGAATTAGATACGCATCAGGCATACTAAGAGAAGGTGTAGAAATAGGTCCCTTATGGCTCACTTCCATTAGAGAGCCATCTGCAGTGTGAATATGACTAATACGATCTCTAGAGGACAAGTCAGAGAAAACATGTGATGCTGAAGTCATATGGTTGCAACAGGCAGAATCAAAATACCAACGGGTGTTACCTGGTGTGGTGGCTAAAGCAGGAGGAGGGGTTCTGGAGGAGATGGAGAGAACCTGCTTGAGAATAGACTCGAGATCACCAACAGAAACAAGTGCTTGTGCAGCAGAAGATTGCTCTTCATTGGTTGGAGTAGTGGCAAGAGCAGGCTTAGAAGAAGATGAGCCAGCAGAACGACGTTGAGATCGAGTGTGAGCCGAACGAGGCGGGCGGGTAGGACAATGGTCAATTATGTGTCCAACAAGTTTACAGTAACGACAGAAGAGAGTGGAGCTGCGATTAGGATCGCGAGTAGGACAATTAGGAGCAATGTGACCCTTCTTTCTGCAATGATGGCACTCAATAATGGGACACTCAATGTAGACATGACCAGATTGTCGACAATTGCCACAGTAGTTTCCCTTAGAAGTAGAAACAGCAAAGGCCATATCAGGTTTGGCACAAAGAAGGCCTAGACGAGTTTCCTCGGACTGAAGGCGAGGAAGAGCATCTTCAAGAGTAGGGAGAGGTTCCTGATGTAACAGTGAAGCACGAACAGGCTCATAATCATCAGTCAAGGCCATCAGGAACTGAATGAGTTTAGTACCATCTCGATATTCAGCATAGCTCTTAATGTCATCCTTGTTGTGTAACTTGGGTTTGCATACCGCTAATTGATCCCATATAGCTTCCATTTTAGCCAAAAAATGAAAGACACCTTGACCCGGAGCCTGCTTAAGAGCATGGAGATCCTTCTCAAGTTGATACCTGCGAGCAAGACCACGACTAGTATAACGATGTGCCAAGTGATCCCATACTTCTTTGGCAGTGTCAAATTTCCCAAATTGTAAGTGAATCCCAGCAATAGAGGTATTGCGAAACCAAGTAATAATCTGATGATTTTTACTATCCCATTCTTCTAACCGATCAATGTATTTGGCACGAGCATCAACATCCAATTGATCAACTGATTCAGAGGGAGGACAAGTAATGTCACCAGTCACATAACGCCAAAAGTCGACGTCCCTTAAGAAAACCACGCATAGCTTCAACCCAATGATTATAATTGATGCCATCAAGTATAATAGGAATAGGGTGAATAACTTCCAAATTTGACATGATAATTGAGAAAATTAGGCTATAGGAATAAAATTTGGTAAAATGAAGCTAAGAAATGGAAAATACAAGCAAAATAAAAATTCCTCTTTTTTTTTTTTTTTGAACCGGGTTCACTAGAGAACAGTGGTGCACGCGGAGGGGGAGAAGAGAGTCACGCCGTCCGTGACGGGGGCAGCCGCTTGGGCGCGGGAGGCGGCGTCCTCGAGGTCGGCAACGCGGTCCGTGACGGTGGCAGCCGCGGGGGCGGGGGGGGCGGCGTCCTCGAGGTCGGCAACGCGGTCCGTGACGGTGGCAGCCGCGGGGGCGGGGGGGGCGGCGTCCTCGAGGTCGGCAACGCGGTCCGTGACGGTGGCAGCCGCGGGGGCGGGGGGGGCGGCGTCCTCGAGGTCGGCAACGCGGTCCGTGACGGTGGCAGCCGCGTGGGCGGGGGAGGCGGCGTCCTCGAGGTCGGCTACGCGGTCCGTGACGGTGGCAGCGTTGATCTGGTGCAGGAAGCGCTTCTCCTCGTCGGTGACAGCATCGATCTGGTGCGGTGCAGGAGGCGCTTCTTCTCGTTGGCGGCGTCGATCTGGTGCAGGAGGCGTCGATCTCATTGGCCGGAGGGGATGGTGGCGGCGGAGGCGAGGCAGCTGCGTCGGAGGGGATGGTGGCAGCGGAGGCGGTGAAAAACTGAAAATGGTGCTCTTGATACCATGTGAAGAAGAGAGAATAGAGAAAATGATATGAAAATGTATGTGTATTATTGAATGAATGTGTTACAAAGAAGGGGTATATACACATTAAGTAAAATGACTAAAATAACCCTACTTACATATTGTAACAATATATATATATATATATATATATATATATATATATTATACTCTAGTATACTATTTATTAAAATAACTTGACGATTTCTTACTTTGATAGTTATTGTTTAACTAATTAAGTTCTAAATTGTGAATGCAAGTGAATTTTCTGATGTTGAAGGGATAGTAGTGAGATATAATGGGTAAATCTTCGTAATTTACATCAGTTTAGAAATGCAACTTGCTTCAATGCGGAAATTCACCATAAATTTAAGGTTGATTATGTCTCGTAGCTTATGTTTTCCAAATAGTATTGACAATTATGTGTGTACCTGTACGAGGGTACTCCGGTAATTTTGTTACTCTTGCTGGGTCTTTGTCTTCCATGAGGTATCCTAGGAGAAGAGAGGGGTACCTGCAAAAGGTACTCCAATGCTTAAGTTAGTCCTCGGTCTCAGAGATATCAGTGCTAATCAATATTGGTAATTATGAAAGCGTACCTCTCTTTGTCACTAGTCACACTTATTTATACTAACCTTAATGGGCCCAGGCCTATATGTAGGCCCATAAAAGGGGTCCATTAATGATACGAGAAGCCTTCAGTGATCGCGAGGAGTTGTAGATTCTTCTCCTTAATATTCATACTATTATCTGGTATACATGCCCCCAGGGTTTCAAGGCTTTTTGGTAAATATTAAAAAATGTAGAAATCCTAAAAAGAAACGTTTGCGAATCTTTTCTGCTGCTTTTTCTGATATTGTCGTCTTTCAATTAATGTGAGGCTGCTGCTTTCTCTTATATTGTCGTCTTTCAATTAACGTGTGTGCTCTGCAAAGTATGACGGTTAAGAGGGGAGGGGTTTCTGCCACTGCAATATTCCTTGATATTAAAGTATACAAATAATACTTATAATTATAGTAACAAATGTCATACTCATCCATCTAAAATCGTTAATCATGAAACAACACACTTTCTTATGGCTATCAGAATAATCTAGTGAGTTTTTTTTTTTTTTTTTTTTCTTTTTTTTTTTTTTTTTTACGCCTATAAGTACACATTTTTACTACGCTGTTTTCTACTGAGAGCAAACCCTATTTTTACTCTGGAGCCGAAAGCTGTCCTTTTTTCGCTTTCAGTAATTCCTCCTCTTCCACCAAAGGATTCTTCTCATTCCTTTTATTCTAGGTAACCATGAGTTCTTCCTTCGCCTCATCTTATTCTTCTTCTACTTTTTCTGATTCTTCGTCCCAGGGTAACAGTTTTGTTCAATCATTTTCTAAGGAATCTTCATCCTCGTTTGAAAACCAATACCTTGAGGAAGGTGGGCCTTCGGTTGAGGATGAAGACGTAGGTCCTCTTTATAATAGTAAGTCAAAAATAGTGCCTGGGTTTGAATGGGTTCATCCGGAGGTAGCCACTTATAACTCTAGGTTTAGTGATCGTAGGATTTTGGAAAATTTTGTAAGCCTTGTTGAAATTTCTTGTTTTCCTACCGAGGAAGAACCTTATCCAATTTATGCTAGGGTTTGTAAAACTGATGCCTCCCTTAAGCCTGATTACCTATTTGCCTTTCAACCAAGTTCGGAGTCGAGACAATTTTTCTATATGTATGATTGCTTATTTAGAGACCTTGGCATTACTCTTCCCTTCAATTCTTTTTTCAAAAGTATTCTTAGAATTTTGAATGTAGCACCTACTCAGCTCCACCCTAATAGTTGGGCGGGTATGCAAGCTTTTTGGAGTCTTTGTAAATTTACACATGTAAAGGTCACTTCTAGTTTATTTCTTTTTTACTATTACTGTCGTCCAGCACAGCCAGTTAAGTGAGTTTCTCTAACCCGAGTTTCTTCTTGGAAACTTCTGAAACCTTTCTCTTCTTCTTATAAAAATTTCAAAGTGGGATTTTTTAAGATATGCATTCATCCAAGTGGTCGGTCTCACTTTTTTGATAGTCATGATACTCCTTTGTTTCCTTTTTACTGGACTCAAGATCCTCTTCGATATGACGTTCTTGATTCCTCTTTTCTTACACCTGGGGAATCTGTTGATTTTTCTTTTCTAGAAAGTTTCCCTCGTAATCTCCCTTGCCGACGACTTATAGATTTGCTCAAGTCTCCCAATCCTGTCCGAGATCTTGAAGGTATATATTGTTCCTTTATTTAAACTTTATGACCTTGGTTTTGATTTTGACCCTTCTTCTATATAGGTATCATGGCTTCTTCTGGTGCTAATGTTCCTTCGTTTCGTCAAGTCCGAAAGGAGCGTGCCAAAGCCGAAGCCGCTGCTGCTACTCCTACGCTTGGGGTTCATTCTGTTGTACCTTCTACGGATGTGGTTCCTCCTCGGGCTGAGAAGAAAAATCTTTCAAAGGACAAGGGCAAGGGTCCTAAGCGTAGGACTACTGAACGATTGGGGACCGAGGCTGAAGCTGAAAGGAGGGCTAAGAAACGCAACTACTCAACTCCTTCTTTCATTGGTCCTTGCTCTTTACCCCCTGCTCTGACTTCAAGTAGTTTTTTAAAGGAGACGATTAATACGCGAGAAGTTTTCGGCCAAGGATTTATTTCTCCGGAAGGTCGTCTTTTTTTGTCACAAGAGAATTCATTGACTAAGTGGTCTCTTTTATGTGAGTTGATGGGTCGTTCCATGGCAATAGCTCAGACCCTTTTTATGGAGCCGATAACGGAAACTGATAAGCTACGTACTAGCGTGAAGGGTTTGGAAACTTCTCTAGCGACTGCTCTTAAGAAAAATGAAGAGCTCTCTACTGATTTTAACAAACTTAAGGCCGAGTACACATGGCTTAATGGTTTAGTGGAAAATTTTAAGGAGAAATTAAGTGAAGCCGAGGCGTCCAAAGCTAAAATGGTGGACGATTTTGAGGGTCAACTTGAGGAAGTAATCACTGAAAGGAATAAAATTGCTTCTGACTATGGGGAGTATAAAAGTGTTGCTGAGGAGAGAATTTATGCTGAGCACGAGGAGGGTTTTAATCATGCAGTTCGGCAAGCTGTTCGCTTTCTTGATGTTCCTTCGAATTTTCAATTTGACTTGGGGAAGGATTTTTTCAAGGGAAACTTCATGGATCTGATTGATATTCCTGATGAGGCTACTACCGAAGATGCCAATACTCCTCCTCTCCCTTCACTAGCTGTGGAGGACAATGTTGCTCCAGCCACTGTTAACCCTGATATTTAGAATCTTACTCCTTGTTGATGCTTGTTTATCTTTTTACATTTCTATGACTTTTGATTTTTGTATAATCTGTCAATATGCTATGAGTGAACATCAAGTTTCGACGTTTCTTGTGCTCTTCTTATTCATTTTAACTCGTTCTGACTTGGTGGTTTCGGTTATGTATTATTAAGAATAATTAATGGGATATCTACCATATTGCTAAGAATACTCATTGGTTAATAATTCTTAAATAATGATTACTCTTGTTCTCAATTTAAAAATATTCGATTGACAAATTCTTGGTCAAGAATTATCACTTATTCCTGCGAGCCATTTGATATGTAAAATATTATTTATTATTTTTTTTTACGAAGGAATATACTTGACCGAGGAATATACTTGGCCTAAAATTTTTGGTTTTCAAAATTTTTTCACCAAGGAATATACTTGACCGAGGAATATACTTGGCCTAAAATTTTTGGTTTTCAAAATTTTTTCACCAAGGAATATACTTGACCGAGGAATATACTTGGCCTAAAATTTTTGGTTTTCAAAGTTTTTTCACCCAGGAATATGCTTGACCGAGGAATCTTGTACAACTTTATGCTTCAATCATTTAACCAAGGGCTAATATATATAACCTTGGCTTTTTTAAAAGCTTTTTGAATGCGGAATCTTTAATACGTGAACTTTTTACCTTTTAAATATTTGGCCTAAGGTCACAATGGTTTCGTTAATTGGCCGAAGGCCTTTTGATACATAAAACTCTCACCGAGGGTACAAGACGGTTTTAATTTTAGATTCCTTTGACTATATATACGGTTTCCTTAATTTTAGATTCTTTTTAATTCCTTTGATCGAGAGTCATAAATCAAGTAATTCTTGATTCCTTTTAACTGCTTCGACCGAGGGCTTAAATCAAGTAATTTTTGATTCCTTTTAACTACTTCGACCGAGGGCGTAAATCAAGTAATTTTTTGATTCCTTTTAACTGCTTTTACCGAGGGCGTGATTCCTTTTGACTGCTTCGACCGAGGGCGTAAAACAAGTAATTTTTGATTCCTTTTAACTGCTTTTACCGAGGGCGTGATTCCTTTTGACTGCTTCGACCGAGGGCGTAAAACAAGTAATTTTTGATTCCTTTTAGATTCGTTTTTGTCTTGATTCGTTTTACGTACTTTGACCAAGTGTGTCCTTGGCCAAGGTTTAGATTCGTTTTTCACGCTCGACCGAGTGTGTCGTCGGCTGAGGTCTTGATTCGTTTTACGCACTTGACTGAGTGTGTCCTCGATCTAGGTTTAGATTCGTTTTTCATGCTCGACCGAGTGTGTCCTCGGCCGAGGTCTTGCTTCATTTTACGTACTTGACCGAGTGTGTCCTCGATCAAGGTTTAAATTCGTTTTTCACGCTCGACTGAGTGTGTCGTCGGCCGAGGTCTTGATTCGTTTTACGTACTTGACCGAGTGTGTCCTCGTTCAAGGTTTAGATTCGTTTTTCACGCTCGACCGAGTGTGTCGTCGGCCGAGGTCTTGATTCGTTTCTCACGCTCGACTGAGTGTGTCGTCGGCCGAGGGCTTGATTCGTTTCTCACGCTCGACTGAGTGTGTCCTCGGCCGAGGTTTTAA